ACTCCCTGCCTCCAGCCCTCAACAGCCTCTGCTTCCTCTGTACCTTGCAGCTGTTTGCTGCTCTTTGAGCCTCTTCATCTTTTAAATAGCCACACCTCTCCAAATAGTCCCTTAATTAAGTTTCAACTGAACCATCTGGCATGAATTCTGATTCCTGCAGCACCCCTACTTATATACACATACATCATGTCACTCACATGGGGCTCCCATTATGAAACTACAGCCAAATAACTCCAGCTATTTGTCTTGCTTTCTTTCTCAGTAAAATTATAATATAATGAATGTAATTATATAACTTCCAAAGTCACATCAAAAATGAAAAATGATCTTTATAAACTCAATGAATTCTAACATTTGGGAGGCAGAGGCAGGTGGGTCTCTGAGTTTGAGGCCAACCCTGTCAGTCCAGGTCAACCAGGGCTACGGTGATACACAATAAGACCTCAAAAGAGGGAGGGGGAGGGAGGGAGGGGGAAGAGAGAGAGAGAAGGGGGAATGGAGAGAAAGAAGGGAGGGAAATAAGGGAGGAAAAGAAGGAAGGAAACTATTAAAGCTTCCAGAAGAACCTGCTAGCAAAACAAGGGAGCACCTTCAACACTGTATACAATTCTGGGTACTTCTTAGAGCCACCCTGGACAGCCGACTTTCTCATCAGCTAAAATCTAGACCCTCCTTAGGTCCAAGAGAACAAATTGTACCCTAAAAATAAAAACAAAATGAATGCTCCACTTCAGTGGTAATTGCCACCAACACTATTGAGTTTAAGAATGTTCAGGAAGCTTTTTCAATGGTAAAATGTAGTTGTAGGGAGGGGGCTGTCTAACAAGTGAGTTCCAAACTCCATGCCTGACCAAAGGCACTCAGTAACCCAGAAAGAGAGCACCTGCCCATGGCTACTCACTGGTCACTCAGAGAAAGTCCAAGTTACACCCACATTCACAGGTCTTCCTTGGCACGCTCCCTTTCACTCTGTCCCACCAGACCCTTCCTTCCCCGAACACCCGTGACAACAGTCTGGTTCAAGCTATTTTTTGAGAGGGAAAAAAATGGCCCTTCTGAATCCAGGCTGCTGTCATTTTGAATGCCTATGTCATATGCTAGATTTGGGAGATGCAGGGATGACTGGAGCTACTGTTGACATTTCTTGATAATTACAGCCCCTAATACTAGGACTAAGACAAGGGCTAAATGATAATGTGATAACATGATTCACATGAGTGGAAATTTCAGTGAGAATCTAATTGGTGATGTTTCTTGCTGTTCTTGTTTGTCTATTTTGTTTATTTTTGCTTTGTAACAGGGTAACATTTGTAGCCCAGGCTGATCTCTTACTCAGTATCCTCCTGCATCAGCCTCCCCAGTACTGACAATACAGGAATACACCACTACACACGGCTGAGATAATCAAGTTTTATATAGTCACTGAATACACAAAAAAGGGAAATCAGCCAGGTGGTGGTGGCCCACACCTTTAATCCCAGATCTCTGTGAGTTCCAGGCCAGCCTGGACTACAGAGTGAGTTCCAAGACAGCCTCCAAAAACTACAGATCCCCTGCCCCCAAAAGGCCCAAAGATGTTGAGCAATGCAGCTGTTGTTATGCAGCTGGCTGGTGGTAGCACCAAGAGCAGTGAATGGTTGCTTTCACTCGTATACCAAAATACCTTTGACTCTAATGTCCAAACTTAGACCCAAAAAGCCTATATGTGTATTCACAACTTCAAAATTCACAATGTCTCTACAATTATTTCAAGTCTGTGTGTTTGTACCAATAGCGATTGTTACCCTAATCAACATAAATATACTGTATACTGTAGAGTGTTTGATTATAATGAACAGCCTCTATCATTTCAGCTCTGCAGGCAGTCCAGGGGTCCACAGACACACTTCCCAGAGTTTAAGATCATTCAACACTTTCTACAGTAATCAATTTCCCTCTCCAATCAATCTCAAAATCGCCTACGATTAACCTAAGTCTAAAACTCATCCACTGGATAAACATTTAAAAACACAGTATGCAGTAGGCACCACTAGGAACCTGGGCCCAATAAAGGTGAGGAAAGAAATGCCAAGTGTGGTGGTTGTGTCCTAGCACTGAGGAAACTGAGGTACAAGGATCACTTGATCCAAGGAGTTCAAGACCAGCCTGAGCACACAGTGAGACCATCTCAAGAGAAATAATAAAGTAAACCAGAAAATATGTGCAAAAGTAACTGAGAAACACATCTATCACTAGCATTTCCTGTGTGGTCAGATCCTGCTGTTGCTGCACACTTAGAGACTGTATTCAATACCAGCATGCAGATTCTTAAACTGTGGGTGGCAATCCCGTAAGTTAACATAGGGTCATGTAACTGAATGGTGAGGTAGCAAAAAGGAAAGGATAGGGGGCAAAATGAAAGTCTTCTGAACACACAGGATAAAAATAAATTCAAAAATCAAACCCATAGTGACTCCTAGGTGTTGCTAGCTAGCAGTAGCTAATCCACTTCATCAGCCTTCGTTCTGAACTTCTCTCTGTGCACAGACATAAAACCCAAGTGAAACACTTCAATTCAGAGTCAAATTACTGTGTTATGAATTGCAGTGTTTTCCATGTATGTTATTATTTGAACATAAAACATCCCTTGTGGGTTCAAATATTTGAACACTTTGTCCCTACCTCCTAACACTGCTCCAGGTAGTTCTGAAAGCTTTAGAATGAAGAGCCCTGTTGGGAAGAGTCGCTATGGGCAGGGACTTGAGTTTTTTGTTGTTATTGTTGTTGCTTTGTTTTTTGTTTATTTATTTTTAGAAACACTCTTATTTACATATCCATCTCCCCATTCCCTCTCTACCCTATCTTCCCATGCTTCCCACCGACCACCCCAACCCACCCACCACTCCCACTCCCGAGGGATGGTGAGACCCTCCATGGGGGATCATCAAAATCCATCACATCATCTGGGGGAGGGTCCAGGCCCTCCTTTCCTTATCTGGGCTGCAATAATAAGACCAAATGAACAAAGATGGAACTGAGATACCCACAGAAACAGTTGACCTGACCTAGTGAGAGCACACAGACCCTAGTCATAAAGCGGGGAACCAGCAATGGACCAAACCAAGCCCTTTGAATATGCTAGGAGGACAAGGCAGTCTATGGAACCTCTAACAGTGGAGCCATGGTTTATTCCTAGGTCACAAATGGACTTTGGGACTTGAGGTTTTAAAGCCCAGTCCCACATGCTGACTTCTGTCTGCTTCCTTTTCCACCAAGAGGTGAGGAGTCCCAGGCATAGTCCTGCTACCATGGAGCTGCCTTGCTGCCATGCTTTCCTCTCTGGCATGGGCTGTCTAACTCCAAACTGAAAGCCACAGTAAGCCCTTTCTCCCTAAAGTTGCTACTGGCAGGGATTTTGTTACAGGAATGAAAAAACTAACATTATATATACACCATGTTCCCCTCCTAAAGAAAGAAAACCTTCTGATTACAAAAAGCAAAGACTGGATATATTCTCCTACTGGCATCCCTCAAGCATGTAATCATCAAGAGAGAGTCTTTGACTCCTGTAGTGTCTGAATTTTGATCTGAAGAATTGCCGTTTGAATTGCTGATTTGGAGTTCTAAAATGACTTTTGCTTGGGAGTAAGGGCAAACTTCCAACAATTTCCAAAATGTTCCTACTTCTACCATTTTGTACTACATAGTTATGTAGAGCAATGCTCTCAGTATTGACTATTATAAAATTAAAATGTCAATCAATTCTGAAAAACACGGAAGAAGCTCAATGTCCTGTAAGTATCAAATACTTAACCAAGACTTAATTCTTTTTGTTTGTTTTTTGAGGTTTTGGTTGTGTTTGTTTTCGGTTTTTGAGAGAAGGTTTCTCTGTGTAACAGCCCCGGCTGTCCTGGATCTCTCTTTGTAGACCTGATTGACCTCAAACTCAGAGATCCACCTGCCTCTGCCTCCTCAGTGCTTGAATTAAAGGTGTACACCACTACACTGGGCTAAGAAAATTCTTTATGTAAAAAGAAATGAGTACATCCAGCTTTATGCTTTCATGTTTAATAAATGGAAAAATTATATGTATTCAAAAACTGTTTTAAAATAAAATTATTTGTGATTTATGGTTAGTGAATGCTTCATTGTCTACTTATTTTATATACTTATATAGGTAAGGTCATAGAAATTCTTTCAGAAGGTTTAAGTGGCAAAAATTGAAGACCCGAATTAGAATACTGCATTTACAAAATGTTTTTAATTTAATCTACGAGGTTATTTATCAACTTTTGAAAGGTAATAATTCAGAATGTCTGGTACAGGACATTAAATAATTGACAAGTAAAAAAAAGGTCACCTTCTAACGACTCCAAGAGCTGTCCCCAACAGATGAGGAAACATTTTGTTTCCCTACTTAAAAATACTGTCTACTGAGTCACACAAAGGAGAACATGTAAGCAGGGAGAGTACGCATCAGCGTTTTTACCTATACCTTGAGAATCCCTAATAGTTCACATTAAGTCAACCCTGTTTTGGCTTTCAGTCCCTTGTCACTGACTGACTCTGATACCAACCACGGGCCATCACATGCTAAGCTTTATAAACAAAGTCTTACTATGCATTAGTACAGTGACTCCGGTTGGCATTAGCTTTTCAGTACAGAGCACCAAATGGCCTAATGGAGGTGTGGCTGACTTAGAAACATTCACTTGGTGCTTTCAGTAGGTCGGCTCAGAGTCGTAAAGGCACCACTTAAGCTTCCCACTCGCATCACTGCGGAGGTCTTCAGCAGATTAAAAGCCGACCCGTCCACATCGCCGCTCCTCCCGGGATCCAGCCTGGCGGCCTGCGCGGAGGCGGACGCGCGGCGGGCAGAAGCCTTACTCGGCGTCTCATACACACCGCACCGCGATCCGAGCTCCTCGCCCCGCCTTCCCAGCTCGCCCAGATCCGACGGTCCCGAGCCGTGCGGCTCCCCGCCGGACCCGGGGAGTCCTCGGCAGGGACACAACACTTACCTCCAGCTTCCACTGCCTGCAGCCGCCGACCCGCCCCAGCACCGGCCACAGCAGCCAGGCGTAGGGCCGCACTTCCGCACGCTGCGAGCGCCGAGCGCGTCGATCCGCCGCCTAGCCGAGCGCCGAGCCCAGGATGGGCCGCCTTTTCCAGCAGGGAGGGGGGAAGGGAAGTGGTTGGGAGGACGGACAGAAGGGAAGTGGAAAGGGAGGGGCGAGAAGGAAAAGAAGTGGGTGAGGAGAGGAGGGAGAAGAGCCATTGGCGGAGAAAGGAGAAAAGGGAGGGGGGAAGCAGAAAGGAGGAAAGAGAAAGTGGAAGCGTGGGAAAAAGAAGGGAGGGACAAAGAAGGTACAGTGGGTTAGGTCACTGTAGATGCTGGGTACACAGCAGATCAGAGGTCAGCACCAGATCCCGAGGCAGACCCCAGTCAAAGGACTGCATCAAACTAGGAGTGCCTGCCATATTAAGGGACCCATAAAGTCAGAACTCTGGGGTCCCAAGAGCCTCAGAAGCAAATTGACTTGCAAACTCACAAGACCCCAAAATTATAGAAATGACTTCGATCTACAGCACAGAAGTCCTAAACTTTGAATGTGCCCTCCGGTGGGCTGGGCTCTGTAGTTCTGGAGATGGCCAGATGAAGAGAAGCAAGCATTCTCTGTGGCTTCCTCCATAGCAGTCCAGGCGACAAAGGACCGGAAGACAATGGAGGAGGCAGAGAACAGAGGTCTTCTTGGGGTTGTGGTGCCATAGCTGTGGAGAGAAATAGCTGCAGGGTGCTGGTCAAGAGTATCATTATGTAAAACCAACAGCAGTCTAAGCTATTACTTTTCAAATCCTTTCTGTGCTGAATCATGCACTTACTCAGTACATGTATGGAGGGGCTGTTGTACATATATAGAATATAGTGTGAGATAACATAGTAAGAGATGCAGTATGGCTTCACTTTTCTCTCGTTCTTGTGGGAACCAGAACGAGAGACTTGGCAGCAAAGGTCCTAAGGAAATACTGTAAGAAATGTCTGGCAGCCATGCATCCTTTCACAGTGAAACCAAACTCTTTGAGGCTTAGAGACACACCATTTCTCAGGTTAGGTTGTCCTGCCATCAAAGCCAAAATGCTGGGTCTTGAGAACTCACAGATTTTTCCTGGATCAAAAAAAATAATAATAAATATGCCATACTACTGAAACAAAAACACTCAGAAGAGGAAAGGAACCCTTTTGTTATTATAAAGAACACTAGTACAATTTTCTTTCCTCTCCCCCCCCCCTCAAGTTTCTGCTCCTAACTCTAAGCCAACTAGCAAACAGTGCAGAGGTTGCCAGAAAATAAAATCGTTAAACCTAAAATTGCAATAGTAGCTGCTGGGGCAATTATAAATCATTGTATAGGTTTATGTTTTCAACACTGTTTCAGATTTCATTAGAACTGAAAAGAAAGACTTTGACTCACTCCTCCCTGTTCTCTCCAAAGCAATCTTTGGAAACACTGGTAGACTCTGCTCTGCTCCTTGGAAGATTCATGTGTCTGTTTTGCCTTACATCAACACCTTAAATACTCAGTACTGCATGGCATGTTGGTTTAAAGGGCCCATAATTAGCATGGAACCTAGCCCTCAACACAGCTGTTAATGTGCCATCTCTTCATGCTCCTTTTTAGCAGAAGCTAATGATCAAGTCATTTAACTCACAGATTCCAAGGTCCTAGCTGGAGCATTCCTGCCTTATTTATTGTCATAGTATGCATTACAGAGACCCACTATGACAGTTATTCGGTCCATCAGGCTGACCATTCAAAGACCAGTAGCCATAGCCTGTCAACAGAGTACTGTCTCTTTGCTTACTTTTTTGTTTTACCCCTGAACATCTTGAAGTAAGGGATTTTGTGCGCTTCACCCTAGATAAATACCTGTTGGATGAAAAGCTGAAGTTCAAGTGTTTGTTATGGTAACACCAGAGTTGTGGGGGAGAGACCTGTTTCAAGTCATCTGCTTAAAAATATACTAAAGGGCCATGCAAAAGGGCAGGGGAGGGAGACAATATTTGATAAATAAATCCTGACAGTATAGTGATGGCTGACATGCTTTAGAAAATACCACCAGCTTTGACATTCTTCATGTTTAAAGCTACAGAGAGGATTTGAAATCCTGCAAGGTTGACACAATACCAAGCAGTTGTAGCAATTCCTTAGTTCTTGGTTTAGGAAACCCATTGACTCATATTCCTTTTACCTTCATTTTAACTATTGTGTGTGCCTAGCAAATGCCGTGGTGTGAACTTAGCCATATTCATTTCTCATTGACTTTAGATCTCTGTGTGAAAAGTCCTCAACATAGTCATATGTCTCTGATCAATTTTACAGTGAAATGGAGCCCTGTGGGCTTTTACTTGCTTGAAATTTGCATATTTCTATTTGAAAATTGTAAATAAACTTGGCTCTAAAGAAGAGGCATGGTGTTACTGTTACCCCAACCATATGGCTCTTACTGCCATCCAGTGCGATAGTGCAGATGTGCTGAACACCTGTGTTTACATCTGGGTGTCTCTGGCGGTAGGTTATGTCCGTAGGTGGTCCAAGAGGGAATGAAGAAATTGAGGAAGGGCTTCCCTGCCAAAGATATATTAGAGTCGCATAGCCTGGGGGGGGGAGGAAGAAATGAGTCAGAATGTGGAAAGGGCTGAGTTAGCATCCTATATGGGTGCTCTCCAATCCCTGCTCAGTCCCCAGAGAGCAGAAATAACCAAATTCTATGATTATATGAGAATAGGAATTAAGGTTTCTTTGTGTCCTAACAGGGGAGTTTTTCCTAAATGTATGAAACCATTTTAATTACTTTTAATTTTTCTTATTGTGTCATTTTTTGTTGTTTTGAAAGAGTTGCCCAGACTGACTTTGAAATTCTCTTACCTTTGCCTCCCAAGTGGTGGGATTATAAGGATGTCCTGGCACACCCAGCTTTTAACTTAGTTTAGATTGCTAGCTAGGAGTAGGTAACTCTGAGTGTGCGTGTGTGTGAGTGTGCGTGTGTGTGAGTGTGTGTGTGAGTGTGTGTGCGTGTGTGTGAGTGTGAGTGTGTGTGCGTGTGTGTGTGAGTGTGTGTGTGCGTGTGTGTGTGTGAGTGTGTGTGAGTGTGTGTGAGTGTGTGTGTGTGCGTGTGTGTGTGCGCGTGTGTGTGTGATACTAAGTATTTTGGATTTTTTCTACTTGGAGACAAGTATACCTGATGCAGTTGGAACAAAATAAATTTTCACTTTGTCAGCAATGTCCATGGCCATAGGACTGGCATAGAAAATGGCAACATATTCTAGTTTACCCGTGGATGTGGTAGCATCCTGTGAAGATGCAGGTTCTGGGCAGAATTACTGGCTTGCTGCCAAGGTCTATTCTGGTACTGGGACAAGAAGGATCAGCTGTGGTATCATGCTGTGTAGAGACTTGAGTCTTGCTACCCTCCTTTAGGAAGGTTCCCCACTGTTCAGAGTGTCAGCTTGCATACAATTTGCCAATTTGTCTTCAGATCCTGATTTTAAAATTCCAATATGACAAAAATGCTATCCCCACCCTTTCAATCCAGGTTTCCCTCAGGAAGACTCAGAAGCGTGTCTCTCACAGAGTCTGACCTGGGGTTCTCAAGGCACTGACAGGACAACAGCATTGATTGCTACTAGGCACATGAGAAACTATGTGAAGAGGTAGCTGTGTCTTGAGCACTTGGGATGTCTTCATCCTCAAGCATCTATCCTGCAGATCAGGAAGTAGCCCATTGTCCGCATGTTTTTATATTTCTGGGGTCCTAAGACATAAGGAGCACATGCACAAACACACACTGGGGAATGCCTCCACCCCGCATATGCTTTCCTGTTTTGTCAAGAGAAACTTTTGTTCTCCCTGACTGCACCCTTGTAACAAAGACATTAGACTGTGGAGTTGTGAAGTAGTTCATTTTTCACTCCTAGAAAAAACCACTTCAAAATGTTCAACAGCAAATCACCATACGAAACAAAAATGTCCATAGCCCTGAAAGAATCTACAACTAACTATAGCACTGTTGATTAAAAGGAAATTATATTGAAAATCCAAAACCCACATTCTGGTTCCTACATGATGTGACCCCTGAGTCTTTGCCCTCTGGAAATTTCTAGTTATCTCGTTTTTTAAATTAGATGGTTGAATAGGAGAGAGCCTGAAGTGCTGTAAACCTGGAAATCTCACAAGTCGGTTTCAGCAACAACCCTCTGAAGGAGTGTTGGCAGAGCTTCAAGACCCTCTCATCTGGCACCTCTGTCTGGCCATCTGGGTGGAATGGGGCATATGGGTGATGTTAGTGCAGTTTTCCAAATAATTCTTTATACCATGGGAGTGGATCACACTAATTACTCTGCTGTTCAACTGAAGGGTGGGGTCCCCCAGAGGCTTTGTTTTGTGACTAGATTACCTATAATACAATCCACTTGAAGCAGAACTTCGAGGAGGCGCTCTCCGCCTCTCTGTTTCTACAGTCCTTTGTTCCCTGGTCCTCAGTCATGTCCACACCTCCCTGTTAACCTCCCACCCTGTAAATAATTACTGTGCTAAGGTACAATCATCTAAAGGTATTTCACGGGCTAAGTGTGAAGTAAAGTAATAAAAACAAAACAATATAACGATAAATATGTGGGCTGTGTTTTCAATTTTTCATTTTTATTGAATTTCTGCTTTTTCCATTAAGCAATTCTTCCTATGCTTGACCACATTCTTCAGACCCTAGATGTATGGGTTATGTTTTTTATGTTTTCTTTCTATTTAGTGTGATGCATACCCATCCTACTAACAAATTAGAAATTTAGATGAATGCATTGACATGTATGGTATGCTTCCTTCAGATAAACAATAGCTTTCCTGACCCCAAGAGTATGTAAGGATTCTTATAAAGATTTTGTTTAAGAAAAAAGATAATTAAAAATATACATCTGCAAATGATATACCTTGATAGCTGATAAACCTTTGAAAACTTCATTTTAGGTAAACAAAAAAATGTCAGTGATGGCTATTTGCTCCATGGTGTCACTTTGTGCTTTAGATCTGTTTAAAAACAATCCTTATTGCTGCTAACTGACTCCTATT